GAATGAAGGAGAAAGATAATCAGTCCTTGTTCATCATGCCTAGCGGTAAGAAATATCTGACTCCCTGGCAAATCCGAGACTTTTCTCTTTCCAAGTGATGCTCTAACACAGATGGAAGTGTCGGTGAAGATCAGTTTCTTTCATGGTTTTGAGGAGTTTGTGACCAAAAGTGTTGCCCAGGATACCAGAAAGATAAAGGAGAATGAGATTGAGAATGAGGGAGAATGAAGGAGAAAGATAATTAGGTAGGAGGATGGAGGGAGAGCGAGCATCCGACCCCATTGTTTTGACAGACGGTAGGGGGAGTGAGAAATCATACAATGTGTCATTTTGACAGCTGACTCAACACATTTAGAAGTCCACACACACACAACACAAGCTTGCTGAAGATAATAGCAGTTATATGAAAGTGTCCAGTGACTATACATGTGTATGTATATATATTATAGAAACCAGAAAGAAGGAAGGAAGGAAAGAATGAATAATTAAAGAAAGAATGAAGACAAAGAAAGGTAAGTAGGAAGTAATGATGACACATTTACCTAGGACTTGAGTCCTGGAAATGGGAAGTACAATGCCTGCACTTTAAAGGAGGGGTTTGGGATATTGGCAGAGTGGAGGGATATGTTGTGTATCTTTATACATATATGCTTCTAAACTGTTGTATTCTGAGCACCTCTGCAAAAACAGTGGTTATATGTGAGTGAGGTGAAAGTGTTGAATGACGATGAAAGTATTTTCTTTTTGGAGATGGCCGACTTGTTAAAAAAAAAAAAAAAAAAAAAAAAAAAAACTACCTAACACAACTGTCTGCTACTACTATGAAGAAAACTGCTGAGACAAGGTGTTTTGTTTGTGCACATACAAAAAAAAAAAAATGCTTGCAAAAACACACACTCGTTTTATGTGTGAGAAGTGTAAAACACCATTGTGTATGAAACCATGTTTCAAAGAGTTCCACAAGCTGCAGAACTTCTAGGAACATGTCCAGTGACTGAACATTTGTATATATATTATATAGAACAATAATAAAAAAATTTTTGTATTGTTTGTGTAAACAAGTTTTGGAAACAATATATTGATAATTATGTTTGTACATTTATTGTGTTGTATACAACGAGTGTATATATGTACATTGCACCTTACTTTGGTCTCACAGGCCACATAAGTTACCTGAAAAAATAAAGTAGTGGAAAAAGCAAGATAGTACCTTCAAATGAGAGTAAAAAAGAAGTTTACTGGGTGAGTGGCATTCGCCGCTGTTGCCATACACGGCTCATTTTCTGCCAACTTTACGCCTCTATATCTCGGTAAGTACTGATGGCAATTTTTTTTTTGTGGGGGGGGGGGGCTTAAAACAATCAAAAAAGTAATCTTAACATTTTCATAAGAAAAATAATTTTTTTTTTTTTTTAATATTTTTCAACACCAGGAGACACTTCAGGATTTGGGGTTTCGACAGTCAAAGGGTTAATGTTCCCATGAGTGATTATTATTAGTATTACATAATGTTTTCCCTCCACCCGGCAACCACCCCTCCAAAGTATATAAACAACATGTTTATATGCTATGTAATGTGTTTCTTATATAATTTTGAAGAAAATATCATAGATGGATTAATGAAAATGTCTATATTGATGTAAAATTGGATATTTTATGTGTCCAAGACTGATTATTATTACATAATAGAAAGAAGTGCTCATGGAGAATGTAAACAAACTGGGTGGCGCACGCTGTATTTGAAAGACCGCTTGCCATATAGAAAGTTTTGGTCATAATTTGAGATCGCTGTGTTAGCGGAATGCCATAAGGCGAAACGCCGAAAAGCGGGGCCCTACTGTAGATGGATCTTACTTCCTGACAAACAGAACACAAAGAGTAATAGTAAACAGAGTAAAGTCCCAGGCAGCTACGGTGAAAAGCTCTGTTCCACAAGGCACAGTACTCGCTCACATTCTATTCCTCATCCTCATATCTGACAGAGACAGAGATGTAAGCCATAGCTCCTTGTCTTCCTTTGTGGATGACACCCAGATTGCCATGGCAGTGACCTCGATCGAAGACACCACAAGAGTCCATCCGGACATAAACCAAATCTTCAAATGGGCCACTCAAAACAATATGAAGTTCAGTGAGGAGAAATTTCAACTACTCAGATATGGAGAACTTGAGGAAATTAAAAAGTGTCAGGGTATACGATAAATTCTAACTATACAATAGAACGAAAAAAGTATTTTGAAGGACCTCAGAGTGATAATGTCAGAGGTTCTTGCCTTCAAAGACCACAGCAATGTATCTACCGCATCTGCTAGGACAACGATTGGATGTACAATGAGAATCTTCAAAACTAGGGATGCCAAGCCCATGATGATTCTCTTCAAATTGCTTGTTCTCTCTAGGCTGGAATATTGCTGTACAGTAATGGCCCTCTTCAAGGCTGGTGATATTGCTGACCTGGAGAGTGTACAAAGAACTTTCACGGCACACATAAGTACTCTAAGTACGATAAGGCACCTAAATTACTGGGAACACTTGAAGGCCCTTGATCTGTGTTCCCTGGAACGCAGGCAAGAGATACATGATAATATACACTTGGAAGGTCCTGGAGGGATTGATACCAAACCTACACACAAAAATCACTCCCTGTGAAAGCAAAAGACTCGGCAGGAGATGCAACATTCCCCCAATGAAAAGCAGGGGTGCCACGAGTACATTGAGAGACAACACAATAAGTGTCCGGGGCCCTTGACTGTTCAACTGCTTCCCAGCATACAGAAGGGGGATTACCAATAGACCCCTGGCTGTCTTCAAGAAGGCACTGGACAGGCATCTAAAGTCAGTACCTGACTAACCGGACTGTGGTTCATACATCAGATTGCATGCGGCCAGCAGTAACAGCCTCATTGATCAGACCCTAATCCACTGTAAGGCCTGGTCTCAGACCGAGCCGCGGGGGTGTTGACCCCCAAAACCCTCTCCAGGTAAAATCCAGGTAAACCTCTCACCCTACATTAAGACTACAAATATTTTCAGGTAAGTAATGAGTGTACTGTGTGTGTATTTTACTTTTTATTGTTTTTTAATGCCTAGTTCTATTGCTAACTTAATATATGTTAGTGTAAACTTATCTGGTATTTATATGCATTTTAACTGGAGAAAATGGTGTTCTGCTTTTCGGTCATGTCCGCTTTCCATTGGTAGCCTGGAACCTAACCTGCCGTATAAGTGGGGCCCTAGCGTATAGTTGTTTAGACTTCCTTATTAGATTGGCAAGTACTGATGTATAGTTTTTGGTTTGTTCCTTAGTTATTGATCCCAATCTGAGCTGTTTTTCATAGTTAGGTTTATTATCAATGGACCTGAGGATGCTATTTGTAAGCCATTGGCTGTTTAGTGAAATATTAATCATACAACTGGATGATATTGAAAAACTAATTTCATAGTATGGAAATTTTGGACAATTGGCAATATCGTACATCCCTTCTCCTATATTAGTCATTGATTAGAGTTCACTGGTTACCTGAATATAGGTGTGAATGTTTTGGTTAAGTTGATTATGATCAGATCATAATGTCTGTGTCCTGGACACAGATGACAGGTTTTAAATGAAAATAAACCAGCACCAGACAAGCTTGGCCCATGACCGGGCTTTGAGGGTCGAGACCCTCCATCCTGAACTCCCACTCAGGGTCGAAAATTTAAAAAAAAAAAAAAATCCTTTGAAATGATAGAGAATCTTTTCCCAATGGTAATGACACCAAAAGTATGAAATTTCATGGAAAACTTACAGAATTATGCTCTCGCAAAGTTAGCGGTCTCAACAGTATTTACACTGGTTATTTCGCCCACTTTGAGCCCTATTTTCAGTCACTTCCAATGTTCCAGTTGACTAAATTCATAGCTATATTGCTAGAGCTCCATTTGTTCTATCGATTGAGCACAAGAAACTACCCATTTACCGAATTTAAACTACCCAATAAAGTGGTCAGAAATTGGCAATTTGGCCAGTTTCACACAAATTTCAAAAGATGCCCATTTCAAAATAGGGTCCAGAATAAACAAGACAGACATTCCTGGCACTAAAACAACGTTTTCTCTGTCTATTAGTCACAGCTCCAGGCTCCTCTTGTATTATTCTTGCTTTCCATTTTGAATTTTTATTCACACAAAAAATAGATTTACTGTTATGCAGACTACTGCATTATTGTAAAAATGGTATAAATAATATCAGTGCACTTGTGAAAGAATATTATACTCACCAGTTGATGTGTGTTGGACATGTGGTGTGATTTGTTTACTTTTGAACATTGGCAAAAATTGAACATTTCTGCTAATTTGAGCTCAATTTCAAGGTGCTTTTCATCGTGCAGCCAATCAAAATCATCTCCATTTCTGTAATATGTCTTCCATTGTATCAAATGAAACCAAGAAAATGAGAATACAACCATAATACCATATGAAAATGCACCTCAAAGTCGCTGTTTTAAACCAAAAACACTGTCATTTTTTTCTTTTTCTCATTATGCACTGCGTGCTACAGGATTTCTTTTATACTGCGCACAGTGACCACACAGACCCATTCTTTCATATGTAGCCCTACCAGCTTTCTTCCACCGTAACTCACGAAATCGTAATGGCATGATTGCAAAAATGGTGTAGAAATATACCTAATTGGATGAATCTTATTGAAGCTAGCTGTCCCAGTGGCTAACGTGATGGTCTGGAGTTTTGAGACTCTCTGACCGCGGGTTCAAATCCTGCCCATGGTATGGTTTCTTCCACCAGATTTGAGGGCGCTAGAATTTTGGCGTTTAAGTACGTGACCGACCCTGGCTGTTAAAACGTACATGTACATGACCGACCCTGAAAGGGTTAAAGACTCTTGAAACTCATCAAAGGTAAAGGTAAACCCCCAATTAGAATGTTATATTATTTACTCAGCCATGATTTGACTGATGATAACTCTTTAATCTACAGTAAAATGTATTATATTCTTGCAGAGAATGAAGTTGAAGGAGCAGGTTGGCTGCTAAGGAAATACTTATCTCTTCTTGTTGGACATGTGTCTGACACTCTCTTCATTGCTACCTCGCTAGCCACTATCAATGCCCGCCTCACAGCTCTCACCTGCACCATCCTGCAGAGAGACATAACAGGTACATGCTTGCTGGTTTAAAAGAATTTGTATTGGTGACCAAATTTGGTAAAGCTTTAAAATTTACTTAAATATTTTTCAAGTTTTAAGGCTGTAAGTGCAGGTAGTTTTGTAATAGCAAAATTAGTTTAACATATTGTATAATGCTTATTTGTATTGCATACCCAAATGTGCAAATGTTCATGCTCATAATATCTTGAAGATATTGATATTTCTTTTAGGAAAACTTGATGTTGTTGAAAATTTTAAATCTCATATGATAAGTTTAATTTACAAACAAACAAAGTATATTTCTTTGCAAGGTTACATTTAGATTATGAAATTACAGTAATGGCATACAGTGCAAAGAGAGCCACTATCATGCCTAGGCATTATGGGCAGACTTAATTTAATGGCTTACATACTACTTAATACTAAAGAAATTGATCATAGTTTGTTTAAATTATTCATCTTCTTTGTTTATAGCAGACAGTAGTTTTACTCTAATTACAATAGTTTCAATAATGAATATTGAAATTAAATTATGGGGATATAACATTGTGAGTTGTTGAAAGTAGTTTACAGTATGAGAATGTTACAGTTGGGTGTAAGACAGCATTGTTTTGGGTAGGTATTTATACTACAAAGTAGGATAAATAATGTATGAACATTGGGCATCTAGATTCAAAGTTTTAATATTTGGATAATTTTTTGGTAGTTAAATATTGAGTATTTAATTTAGGGTGAGTAGGTGGTTTTTGAGTAGAGCCTTAAACTGGTGTTCAGACCTGGTTACTTTAGTATTTACTGGTAATTAATTCCAAATTTTGGGGCCCTTTATGTGCATAGAGTTTTTATACAGTGAGATATGGACATGGGGTCCATCAAAAAGAGATCGGTCTCTTGTGTTGTAGTTGTGTGTGCTGTTAAGGTTGATGAGAAGTTTGAGTGAAGGGTTTATGTTTGAGTGTAGTGTTCTGTGTATGTACTAGGCACATGAATAAGTATGGATGCTGTTAACAGTGAGCCATTTTAGACTTTTGAATATTGGTGGAGTATGCTGTCGGGAGTGGGAATTTATCACTCTGACTGCAGCCTTTTGCTGGGTTATTAGTGGTCTTAGGTGATTTAATGTTGTTGATCCCCATGCACAAATTCCATATGTGAGATAAGGGTAGATGAGTGAATGATACAGTGCAAAGAGAGCTGATTGTGGAACATAGTACCGTATCTTTGATAGTATGCCTACTGTCTTAGAGATTTTCTTAGAAATTTGTTGTATGTGCGTCTGGAATTTGAGGCTACTGTCAAGGTGGATTCCTAGGAATTTTCCCTCTGTGAGTCTTGTGATGGGTGATCTGTTTAGCGTTATGTTAAGTGGAACATTTGCAGCTCTGTTTCCAAACTGAATGAAATAGGTTTTGTCAGTATTGAGGGTAAGCTTATTTGTCATCATCCAGGTAGATATTATCTGCAATTCAGCATTAACATTGTTAGACAGTATGACTGGGTTTGGGTGAGAGAAGATGTATGTTGTGTCATCTGCAAATAATATGGGTTTGAGTAGCTGTGATGCATTTGGTAGGTCATTGATGCAAATGAGAAAGAGGAGTGGGCCAAGGACACTTCCTTGTGGGACATCGACTGTGATTGGTTGAGCGGAAGAGTTTGCTCCATTTGTGTACACAAACTGGTTTCTGTTACTAAGGTATGACTTTAGGTAGTTGAGGAAGTGCCCTCTTATACTATAGTGTGTTAATTTAATGTGCAGCAAATCATGGTCAACTGTATCAAAAGCTTTATGTAAATCAATGAAGATACCCAGTGGGAGTTCTTTCTTCTCGAGAGTGGTGTATATTAGTAATAGCATGTGTATAATAGCATCATTTGTACTTTTATTAGTCCTGAATCCAAACTGACAGGGGTTTAGTAAGTTGTGTGAGATGAGGTAGGAATAGATCCATCTGTGAATTAATTTTTCAAAGATTTTTGGGAGCAGAGGTAGGTCAGATATTGGTCTATAGTTATTGAAGTCAGTTTGATCACCTCCTTTATAGTTCGGGGTGACCCTCACTATTTTGAGAATTGCTGAGAAGGTGGAGGATTCAATGGATTTGTTAAAGAGTGTTGCAATAATTGATGACAGTACTTGAGATGCTCTTTTGTTCATAAAAGGTGATAAGTTATTTATGTCCCTTGCCTTGTTTTTAAGGGTGTTGATGATGAGCAGGACTTTTGTTGGGTTAGTTTTATATTTGTTGAGCATTACAGTGTTGGAGTCAAAAGTTCTTTAATGAGAGTGTGAAGTTTTTATAAATAATTTAGTGAGAAGAAACAGTTAATAGGTAAATTATATACAGTCATTGATTAAAGGAAGTTTCTTATGTAACTAGGTCTCCTCCTGAGTGAGCTCTTCATCTCGTTACTTGTTGTGTCTGTTCACAACCCAAATGTTGTCCTGTCGTGTGACCTTATCTCACCATTGCTAAGTCTACTGGAACCACTTGACCGCTTCAATCAGCTCTCTCCAGGTGCTGACAGAGAAGACACAGAAGATATGGCCTGGCCTGGCATTATTGGTAAGAAACAGTTTCTTGATGGGTATTATGGGAAAATGTTTGGAACAGTTGTAGTTTATGAAAAAGTATTATAATGCAGGGGGAAACAAAATTACAGTTAGGAATGGTGGAAATGTCAAAATTTGTGTTTTTCTTTGAGAAGCTGCAAGAACTAACAGTGTGTTTACATCTGATCAAAATATAAGTAAAGTAATTAATTAAACACACACACTCACACATCATTATTATAATTGCTTTCAATGTTCACTGCCTTGTACATTTTTTTTTTTCATCAAGTCGGCCATCTCCCACCGAGGCAGGGTGACCCAAAAAGAAAGAAAATCCCAAAAAGAAAATACTTTCATCATCATTCAACACTTTCACCTCACTCACACATAATCACTGTTTTTGCAGAGGTGCCCAGAATACAACAGTTTAGAAGTATTATTTTTTTTTTTTTTTTATTATCACACTGGCCGATTCCCACCAAGGCAGGGTGGCCCGAAAAAGAAAAACTTTCACCATCATTCACTCCATCACTGTCTTGCCAGAAGGGTTGCTTTACACTACAGTTTTTAAACTGCAACATTAACACCCCTCCTTCAGAGTGCAGGCACTGTACTTCCCATCTCCAGGACTCAAGTCCGGCCTGCCGGTTTCCCTGAATCCCTTCATAAATGTTACTTTGCTCACACTCCAACAGCACGTCAAGTATTAAAAACCATTTGTCTCCATTCACTCCTATCAAACACGCTCAGGCATGCCTGCTGGAAGTCCAAGCCCTCGCACACAAAACCTCCTTTACCCCCTCCTCCAACCCTTCCTAGGCCGACCCCTACCCGCCTTCCTTCCACTACAGACTGATACACTCTTGAAGTTATTCTGTTTCGCTCCATTCTCTCTACATGTCCGAACCACCTCAACAACCCTTCCTCAGCCCTCTGGACAACAGTTTTGGTAATCCCGCACCTCCTCCTAACTTCCAAACTACGAATTCTCTGCATTATATTCACACCACACATTGCCCTCAGACATGACATCTCCACTGCCTCCAGCCTTCTCCTCGCTGCAACATTCATCACCCATGCTTCACACCCATATAAGAGCGTTGGTAAAACTATACTCTCATACATTCCCCTCTTTGCCTCCAAGGACAAAGTTCTCTGTCTCCACAGACTCCTAAGTGCACCACTCACCCTTTTCCCCTCATCAATTCTATGATTCACCTCATCTTTCATAGACCCATCCGCTGACATGTCCACTCCCAAATATCTGAATACGTTCACCTCCTCCATACTCTCTCCCTCCAATCTGATATTCAATCTTTCATCACTAATCTTTTTGTTATCCTCATAACCTTACTCTTTCCTGTATTCACCTTTAATTTTCTTCTTTTGCACACCCTACCAAATTCATCCACCAATCTCTGCAGCTTCTCTTCAGAATCTCCAAGAGCACAGTATCATCAGCAAAGAGCAGCTGTGACAACTCCCACCCTGTGTGTGATTCTTTATCTTTTAACTCCACGCCTCTTGCCAAGACCCTCGCATTTACTTCTCTTACAACCCCATCTATAAATATATTAAACAACCACGGTGACATCCACACTCCTTGTCTAAGGCCTACTTTTACTGGGAAAAAATTTCCCTCTTTTCTACATACTCTAACTTGAGCCTCACTATCCTCGTAAAAACTCTTCACTGCTTTCAGTAACCTACCTCCTACACCATACACTTGCAACATCTGCCACATTGCCCCCCTATCCACCCTGTCATACGCCTTTTCAAATCCATAAATGCCACAAAGACCTCTTTAGCCTTATCTAAATACTGTTCACTTATATGTTTCACTGTAAAACACCTGGTCCACACACCCCTACCTTTCCTAAAGCCTCCTTGTTCATCTGCTATCCTATTCTCCGTCTTACTCTTAATTCTTTCAATTATAACTCTACCATACACTTTACCAGGTACACTCACAGACTTATCCCCCTATAATTTTTGCACTCTCTTTTATCCCCTTTGCCTTTATACAAAGGAACTATGCATGCTCTCTGCCAATCCCTAGGTACCTTACCCTCTTCCATACATTTATTAAATAATTGCACCAACCACTCCAAAACTATATCCCCACCTGCTTTTAACATTTCTATCTTTATCCCATCAATCCTGGCTGCCTTACCCCCTTTCATTTTACCTACTGCCTCACGAACTTCCCCCACATCACAACTGGCTCTTCCTCACTCCTACAAGATGTTATTCCTCCTTGCCCTATACACGAAATCACAGCTTCCCTATCTTCATCAACATTTAACAATTCCTCAAAATATTCCCTCCATCTTCCCAATACCTCTAACTCTCCATTTAATAACTCTCCTCTCCTATTTTTAACTGACAAATCCATTTGTTCTCTAGGCTTCCTTAACTTGTTAATCTCACTCCAAAACATATATCCCTCCAAACTACCAATATCTCAAACCCCTCCTTTAGAGTGCAAGCACTGTACTTCCCATTTCCTAGACTCAAGTCTGGTTATATAAAATAATCGGTTTCCCTGAATCCCTTCACTAAATATTACCCTGCTCACACTCCAACAGCTCATCAGGTCCCAAATACCATTTGTCTCCATTCATTCCTATCTAACACGCTCACGCATGCTTGCTGGAAGTCCAAACTCCTCGCCCACAACACCACATTTACCCCCTCCCTCCAACCTTTTCGAGGACGACTCCTACCACGCCTTCCTTCCCCTACAGATTTATATGCTTTCCATGTCATTCTACTTTGATCCATTCTCTCTAAATGACCAAACCACCTCAACAACCCCTCTTCAGCCCTCTGACTAATACTTTTATTAACTCCACACCTTCTCCTAATTTCCACACTCCGAATTTTCTGTATAATATTTACAACACACATTGCCCTTAGACAGGACATCTCCACTGCCTCCAACCGCCTCCTCGCTGCAGCATTTACAACCCAAGCTTCACACCCATATAAGAGTGTTGGTACATACATTCCCTTCTTTGCCTCCATAGGTAACATTTTTTGCCTCCACATATAACTCAGTGCACTACTCACCTTTTTTCCTTCATCAATTCTATGATTAACCTCATCCTTCATAAATCCATTCACTGACATGTCAGCTCTCAAATATCTGAAAACATTCACTTCTAGGTAGTAGGTTGGCAGACAGCAACCACCCAGGGAAGTACTACCGTCCTGCCAGATGACTGTGAAACAGAAACCTGTAACTGTTTTACGTGTTGGTAGGATTGCTGGTGTCTTTTTCAGTCTCATAAACACGCTAGATAACAGGGATATCTTGCTACTCCTACTTACACTTTGGTCACACTTCACAGACATGCACATGCATATATATATACATACATCTAGGTTTTTCTCCTTTTTCTAAATAGCTCTTGTTCTTCTTTATTTCTTCTATTGTCCATGGGGAAGTGGAAAAGAATCTTTCCTCCGTAAGTCATGCGTGTCGTATGAGGCGACTAAAATGCCGGGAGCGATGGGCTAGTAACCCCTTCTCCTGTAGACATTTACTAAAAAAGAGAAGAAGAAAAACTTTATAAAACTGGGATGCTTGAATGTGCATAGATGTAGTGCGGATGACAAGAAACAGATGATTGCTGATGTTATGAATGAAAAGAAGTTGGATGTCCTGGCCCTAAGCGAAACAAAGCTGAAGGGAGTAGGGAAGTTTTGGTGGGGGGAAATAAATGGGATTAAATCTGGAGTATCTGAGAGAGTTAGAGCTAAGGAAGGGGTAGCAGTAATGTTGAAGGATCAGTTATGGAAGGAGAAAAGAGAATATGAATGTGTAAATTCAAGGATTGTGTGGATTAAAGTAAAGGTTGGATACGAAAAGTGGGTCATAGTAAGCGTGTATGCACCTGGAGAAGAGAGGAATGCAGAGGAGAGAGAGAGATTTTGGGAGATGTTAAGTGAATGTATAGGAACCTTTGAACCAAGTGAGAGAGTAATTGTGGTAGGGGACCTGAATGCTAAAGTGGGAGAAACTTTTAGAGAGGGTGTGGTAGGTAAGTTTGGGGTGCCAGGTGTAAATGATAATGGGAGCCCTTTGATTGAACTTTGTGTAGAAAGGGGTTTGGTTATAGGTAATACATATTTTAAGAAAAAGAGGATAAATAAGTATACAAGATATGATGTAGGACGGAATGACAGTAGTTTGTTGGATTATGTATTGGTAGATATAAGACTGTTGAGTAGACTTCAGGATGTACATGTTTATAGAGGGGCCACAGATATATCAGATCACTTATTAGTTGTAGCTACACTGAGAGTAAAAGGTAGATGGGGTACAAGGAGAATAGAAGCATCAGGGAAGAGAGAGGTGAAGGTTTATAAACTAAAAGAGGAGGCAGTTAGGGTAAGATATAAACAGCTATTGAAGGATAGATGGGCTAATGAGAGCATAGGCAATGGGGTCGAAGAGGTATGGGGTAGGTTTAAAAATGTACTGTTAGAGTGTTCAGCAGAGGATTGTGGTTACAGGAAGGTGGGTGCGGGAGGGAAGAGGAGCGATTGGTGGAATGATGATGTAAAGAGAGTAGTAAGGGAGAAAAAGTTAGCATATGAGAAGTTTTTACAAAGTAGAAGTGATGCAAGGAGGGAAGAGTATATGGAGAAAAATAGAGAGGTTAAGAGAGTGGTGAAGCAATGTAAAAAGAGAGCAAATGAGAGAGTGGGTGAGATGTTATCAACAAATTTTGTTCAAAATAAGAAAAAGTATTGGAGTGAGATTAACAAGTTAAGAAAGCCTAGAGAACAAATGGATTTGTCAGTTAAAAATAGGAGAGGAGAGTTATTAAATGGAGAGTTAAAGGTATTGGGAAGATGGAAGGAATATTTTGAGGAATTATTGAATGTTGATGAAGATAGGGAAGCTGTGATTTCGTGTATAGGGCAAGGAGGAATAACATCTTGTAGGAGTGAGGAAGTGCCAGTTGTGAGTGTGGGGGGAAGTTTGTGAGGCAGTAGGTAAAA